TTAATTTAACAATCGTTGGATAAATTAATTAATTGGATTTGTTATTTATATTTTCGAATTAATTGATTGGATTAATTAATTCACGGACCGGGTTTAATTAATTGGATTAATTAATTATTGGACCGGACCGGGCCGAGCCTGTTTGGGTTTATATAAATATATATCTAGGGTTTGAGGTCCATTAAGGTTTTCATTATTCTTGCTAGCACAAGAGAAAACCCTAGAGGCTGCAATCAAATTCTCTGTGTGGATCACCGTTGGAGGCTGGACAATTGGACAGCTGTGGTGGCGAATCAAAGTTGTGGAACGAAAAGAAAAGCAAAAGGATTGCAGATCTGGAAAAGGTACAATCCTATCACAATTCCTAACCAAACACAATGAGATCTATTGGATGGGAATCGAAATATATTTTAAATTCCGCTGTGCATGTATAAGTAGATTCCCAACAAGGTCCCATCTTAAGAGCTGAACCTTTTAAAAAGAAGTATCCAAGTCTTTACAGATTTGTCTATTTTTCGACATTTAACCAATGGGGATTTATCCTTAACATTCTCCACAAGATGATAGCTCATTTGGGAACATCTGGAATCCATGTGCTCATTCTAAGTCTTAATCAAATCGAATTGCTTGTTTGAGTTTAATGGTGTTTGATACCATATTGAAACTTGAGGTTTATCATAAAAAGTCAATCATCTTAAGAGTGGTTATTGGTCTACATTTCAGTATTAAACCGATGTGGGATGCATCCCTTAACAGTTTGGTTCTTGATTTTAAGTGTTCTATTACAATGCTTGAAGTTTGAATTAGTAGATAAGATGTAAAAGAGGGATCTTTATATGGATTGATGATTTTCCTGTTGTGTAAATATTATAATTTATCTGAAGTGGTCTCCCTCCATGTGAGGGGTGGACACCGTTATAGACACCCTAATGTACATGTAGCATCACCCATATTATAAACATCCCTATAAATCAATGTTTGTATAGTGTTCTTCATTTTAGGGTTGGATATATCATTAGTTGCAAGAGAAATGAATTAAAAGTCATGTGTGTGTTTCTGAATAGTTGTGTTTAGTCAACACATTTACTTGTCAGGACTCGAGTTAATACTCTAGCAACTGACATTTTTCTGCCTGGATATCGGTGCCTTTTTAAGCTGAGAAGAATTACATTGTACGGATGGAAAGCCCGTGAATTGGGCTCTTGTGATATTGGCTAAGATGAATCCGTTAGAAGGGGTTTACATTCATTTTTGCCCACATTCTTTTAGCACCCAGCAGAACTTCTATAGTGCAGAGTATCAACTATGTGAAGAAGAATACCATAGAGAATGGAGGCTTGGGCATTTTGCTAAACAAAATGTCAAGGAAAACTGATGCCGTTTTGATGCATTATCTATCTAAAAAATGTATATTGGATTTACCCTTGGAAGTGAGCCCTTTGTGGACGGTGTTAAACATATTGATGATGGAAAACTTGTGAATTTTTTTTTCTCAGGCTCATACTTGTGTACCTTATTTTGTAGAAGGCAAGCATACCAGCTGCCTACTTTGTGGCAGTATATCTGATTACACATGATAAAACAAATCCTATTTTTCAATTATCATTTGGAGTTCATAGCCATAAACTGTGGGAACAGTACAAAGATATTGCTTATAGAATTATTGGTGGCAATGAATAAGACCTTATATATTCTCCTAAATCAATATATCTCTCCTATCTTCAGAAAAAGGAGAAAAGAAATTAATTCTTCTCTGGATAATAGAGCCTTTCTTACAAAAAAAGGAAAATATGATGGATTTCGCCATATGCATCTTGTCAGATTACAAATTCAGACCGAAACTCTGCAATAAAGAACAGCCATTGAATTTCAGAGTGGGAAACCAGAAAGCCATAAAATGGATTGTTGTGCAGCATTATCACTGAATGATATTTTAAATAAATAGACGTATTCATTCTTTTTTAGAAAGGCATTCAGAGTAGCACTCCTGTATTTTGGATTATTTTTGGGGTTTGGTGCAATTCTTTGGTTCAGATCATCATGCTTCTCAGCACATATTTAAAGACAGGCTTTTGAATAATCATATTGTCCCATTCTGCCTCTGGTTTAAAGGTTGCATGAAAATAACAAAAAAATAAAGGAACCAAATATATTTTAGCCTTTAAGTCCTTTTTCAACATGCGATTCATTGTCAATTACTTGTGTTATTCTCTTTTATCTGCTTTAGACATGTTTTTGAAGAGAATCCCCGAATATTTGGTGGCATTTTGGAATTCTGAACTCATGATTGCTTTTGTTGTCAAATTGCAATGACCTTAGCTTCTTTGGTTTGATGTTTTTTCCATCTTTCATACTGGAGTTATTAAGCTTCAAAGAAACTTCTTCATCAGTTATATGCTTCTGTAGACTGTAACCATCTCTCTGTCTTTAGGTTGCTAGGAATGCACATGTCCCAGTCATCTTGGATGCAGGTGGAGTTGATGCACCAATCCCCATAGAGCTACTTAGTTTTGTTGATATTTTGAGTCCAAATGAGACTGAGCTTGCTCGTCTGACGAACATGCCAACAGAAACGTTTGAACAGATCAGTCAAGCTGTGAAAAAATGCTATAAAATGGTGAGTGACAGTTGTACTCGAGTTTTTAGTAACAGCTAATTATGGAGTTGTTGCTATCAATTTTAGTTTCTCTTCGTGTTTTTCTCCCTCATTTTTGCTGTTCAAGTTATAGAGTATAGATATTCCTTTTTCTTCAGGGTGTTAAGCAAGTTCTTGTGAAACTTGGAGATAAAGGGTCTGTTCTTTTTACTGAAGGAGCAGAACCAATTAAACAACCCATCATATCAGCTTCAAAAGTAATTGATACAACTGGAGCTGGTGATACTTTCACTGCTTCTTTTGCTGTTGCTCTTGTAGAGGGAAAATCCAGAAAGGAATGCTTGAGATTTGCTGGTATGCATGGTAATATTTTCCTCCCATTTTACAATAAAGTTTGCTATCTCACAAAATCCTTAATGATTTTCAGCTGCAGCTGCTTCACTTTGTATTCAAGTAAAGGGAGCTATTCCAAGCATGCCTGACAGAAAATCAGTTTTGGATCTTCTTCACTCCCTTTGAGGACGTTCCTTTTTGTATCTTAGTGCATCTTGCTTATAAATAAGAGGTATTCCTCTGAAACAATTCTGTACGGTCATTTTTCCCATTTTAGTGCCTAAAATATGTTCTTCCTGCACCTATAACTGGTTGAAAATTGTAATTAAGCTCATACATTAGTGTTCTTTTCCTTTTTACTAAGAAAAAAATGTCTTCCTAGGGATTGAGTGATAGGGAGATTAAAAGGGAGAAAGAAAATTACAGGATAGAAAAGATGTCAAGAACATGCAAAAATACAATCAATATCTAGCTAGGAGACAAGACTGGAGGTCTGGATCGAGTTTGAAAACAGAGGGCTTTAAACTCTTTCCCCTGACTTAACATACTGCCCCTCAAGAGGAATGGTATTGTGTAGATAAAGGTTAGTGTTATACATTTATTGCAAATATGGATGGGGGCCTAAATGTCAAGAAATTATGGTTGGGGAGCTAAATGCTCATATGTATAGATTGGGAGGCCTCCTATGCTATTTTTCCAAAAATGAGAAATTGATGCTGATCTTTTGTTTAGTACGAAATAGAAAATTTAATGATGTAAAGCAAGTAGAAGAATTTTTTTTTTATATTAAGCGGGCAATTAACAGTAATATAAACTAAAAATTTGATAACCTAGATGTTCCAAGACCTGGTAAAATACAATTTTGACATTATGAGAATGTCGATCAACACGTTACCAAACTAAAATTGTTGAATTGAGTTTTCATTACTTGAGAGTTTTGCAATCTTCATTTCTGATTTATTTATTTTTTTCAAAAAGTTGTGTACTTAGAGTTCGTTGTTCTGTATGATGCCAATGACTCGAGGAAATTTTTTGTAGGCCGGCACTTCAACTGTTCTTAATTCAGGAAGCTGGAGTGTTTCAGTGTGCTTCTGAGTAACTTTCTGTCATTTCTAGAGTTCGTTCTAATTTAGAGTTTCTTACTGCACAATTTAATTTTACCTGTCATTTTATATTTAATTTTTGTTGAAGATGCTATTATTAAAAGGAAGAGTTGCATGAAGTAGTGGACTTCGTTAGTTATATACCAGGAATGAAGTAGATTACAAAGTTTACGATTCATTGACCTCTGATTGTGATTATTAGGATGCTTGCTATTTCTGCCACCATTGTTGGCCATCGATAAATCTTAGATCCTTGCTTAGGTACCAATTTTGTGCGAATTTAGATTTTAGACGAACACAGAAAAATACTCGAAAGAATTTACAGTCTTCTTAATAGGTATTCGAAGAAGAAATATATCTCCTGGTATACTGCTAATGACCTACTTGTCATCTTCTTCTAAAAGAAGCAAACAATCTCCTAATAAAATGATAATGACATTTAGAAAATGTTGATATAACTAATATCTTCGTAAAATAAAATAAAAAAATACTAACACTAATGCCATTTCCCTACATCATTGTGGCTATAAAATGGTTTAATACCATTGGTGAACACTTGTAATAGCTAAAAACCTTCATCTTTGATGCTCTAGTTTGTTGTGCTGCTGCTACTTTCCTGAGCTGCTGCAATATGCATCATTAGTATTAGTGCGATGATGCATTGCATCGGGTAAGTTGTATATTAATCAGGTAGTTTCTCTGAATATAAAACCTGGTTTTCTCCATATTACCTTGTTTGAGATCCAACAGTATACTTGTGTTGATTGTCAACAACTTCTTACCCGAAGGGGCAGAAAAAGGAGTGAGACACTTTACTTTGTTCCCATTTTGGTTCTTGCTCTTGCAGCCAGATTTGGAACAATGATATCAAAGTCACTAACAGTCCATTCAGCAACTTGGTTATCAGACCTGTAAATCTCAGTTCCTAAATCAATGGATGACCAATATCTGTCTGCTGGTCCAGTTCCTGGATCCTGGCACATCAAAGATATGAAATACTGTAAGGAAATAAGATTCTATTAATTTCTAATGTCAGTATGACCAACTATACTGTTATATTGGGTGTTCCATACACATATTCGGTCGCCTAATATTCTTTACTGTGTAAAGGGGTTCAGGTGTGAGTTTTGAGTGTGTGAGACCTGTCAATCTTCACCTCTGTTATAGTGAATGCCTACAACAGGAAGGTGATGTAGCTCTCACGTCAAGGGTGAATCAATATAATTTTCTTTTATTTGTTTTCGTTTCTGAGAATATTGGTTTCCATTATTGGGGTGGATTGAAGAAAAAACTGAGAAACTAAGGTTCATACCTGGTAGAAATAAAGTGCTTGTGAAAGCTTCCCAACATCAAGTTCCCAGGTTTTGGGATCACCAATCCTGCCTTCACCCTTCTTTGTAGGATATCCATACTCTCCCCAAACTGGATGGGGTAAGATTTGCAATATCTCTTGAGGTTGAGGATTACTATAGGGATCACAAAAGTTATAAGGCTCCTCAGGGTGTCGAGCATTGCCAGGAGTACAATAAACGTGGTAAGCCTCGTATGGAAAATTTTCCTCATCTGAGCGCTGAATACGAGTTCCATTGGGAAGGGTGTGGTACGGGGGGCAGGATTGCTGACTAGTCGGTTTGCACCACGAGTCTATGCTAGGATTAATTATCATCTCACTGTATCGTGTAACATCTGTTGTCACGTCCCCGTTGCAAGGCTGCCCATTATTCTTCCAGCAGCTGCCGATGTCCATTAGGTAGAACTGGCTTCCTGGACCCCCACCGCGCTTTATATCTAACGTGAATTTTACGGTGAAATTTGGCGACTTGGGAATCTTTGGGAACATTTAGTGAGAAAAATGATCAGTAATGCAGAAAACGAAGATGAAACGAATGAAAGTTATGCAATTCATTTGCAATTTGATCCATGGCCATATTGATGAACCACCTCATCTAACGAATTCTATATGAGGCAGTTCGGCATGGTATCAAAGAAGTCAAAGGTCATGAATTCAAGCCTTTTCTTGTTTTTATTGTAAATTATGTACTTGTCAAATATTGGTAAAAAAAAAATTAAAAAAAATTGAATGCAATCCGCCATGAATGAACATGCTGAAAACAGCTTAAGCTCTTTGATGGGTGATTCAACACGTATTATGGTACCGTTGTCATTATTCCTCTTGTTTGATAGTGATATCCGCCAGAGAACCCTGTTGTAGCATCTGCCCTTAGGTATAGCATCAGCCATGGGTACTTTGAAGATGTCTTGAGAATATGATGAAATTTCCAGCTCCCTTTTCCAATTTCTTTCTCCCAAACCACTTCGTAATATGAAGAATCATTCTGTGTGATGAGTTCTTTTGTAACACTAGCAGCAATATCCAAATCCCATGTCCCATAAAAATCCCCTCAGGTTGTTTGTCCCATGATCTTCGTGCACAATCGTATAGTCGTGGTAGATCAATGGCATATTCATGCACCCTTTTCCGAAGCATGGGAATATGGAATCGGATTGGAAGGGATAGGCTTTTCTTCCATTGTTTGGGCAAATAGCAGCTAATGTATCCATGTTTCCACTCTTGAGCATTATCATCCAAAACTGCCATGGCTTTGGCTTGTCTTGAACTTGACATTTTGTGCCCAAATATATCTGCTTCCATGCCGCGTATTGGTTCACATCAAGAGGTTCTCTTCTTCCTCTGGATGTTGAATTTGATATGCCAAGCTTGTTGTCGCTCTCATTCACCTTGTGAACCAGCCCGACTGTTTTTCCAAGATGATATGAACAAAAGAAACTTAGAAAGCTGTGTGGGTTGAGTTCATTAATGATGTGTTTGGTACATTGGACTCAAGAACGAGGTTAAGGAAGAGACGCATGTTGTGCAGAAGTCGGAATATTAGGTTTTGAGCAAAATATAGAAGAGAAAATGAACAAGTGGAATTAATGTGGTTTGACAATTGACCTTTATCCATGTTGTAGACAAGTTCCACTAATACCATTTAAGAATACAAAAGAGTTCAAAGTAGTTAAACCAATACCCTCTATAACATACATATTATTCTGGATAACACGAAAGAGTTTATTTTTGGTACGTGTTATGAGCAGATATGGTGCTCGATCTTGGGTCTTATGTATGGGTCGAATAAGTAGAAATCCTTTGTTGCACGATTTCAGGATCAAATCCAGGCATATCTTGGTAGGACCATGCGAACACATCAATGAACCCCTAGTACTCAAACTAAAATTTCTGCACTGATTGAGCCTACAAAAGATTTCCAAGTCATATCACAAGACTATCTCACATATTAGGGTACTTTGATCAAATCTACAAAAGTGGATTATATGAGTCGGTGCACATTGAGGATGGCTAAATAATAACCATTCTTCGTGTGACAATATAATAAATCCTCTTCCTATATGGGATAACACAAAGGCATCAAAACAACACAACATAAATAAAATTTATCGTTTGTGCTATAGAGTCAAGTTCACCAAGTGCAAGATAAGCTTCGTCTTGGTGTTAATTTAAGCATTGATTATATGTATAAACAGGTATAAAAAGACTCACTAGGTGATGTGGAATTGTAGAGGTCAAAGCAATCTGCATATCTTGGACTTCCCATATTTGGAGCTTCTTCACCAACCTCATTGCATTGATTCCATGCCTCAATAGCCAGTCTAAGACCATCTCTTCTCATCCCGGGATCGCCTACTGCGGATATTTGTGCAGAAACAAAGCATTCGTGTACTGCAAAAATTGAAACTAAAACTAGCCCACAAAGTTTTTGCAGCAACATCATTGATATCAATTAATTTGATTATTATAAAACTCTCTCTCTCTCTCTCTCTCTCTCTCCATATATTCGTTTTATTGAGACTATATATATATATATGATTACTGGCAGACATTGTTATCCTTGAGGGTTAACCTATTGTCCACAAGTATTCCTAAATATATGTATATGAGTTTGTGTAATATATGTATTTAACATTTGCATTGAGACAGCCTGGTGATTACTGGCAGACATATATTGTTATAAGTTAGGGTGAACATTTTATCCACAAGTATTCCTAATAATCTGTAAAATTCACAAGTATTGCCAACTTTGAGAATAAGTGATTGGTAAGAAATTTGTGGCAATTATATTCTTTCATTTACTTCTACCTTAGGAAAGCATATTACAACTTGATGTAATAATACAAGAGGATTTAGAACTCTCTTGTAGGTCCCAGATACATAAACTTCCTAATGTAAAAACGATTTTGGTTTGTAAACAGAAAGTAAAAATCGTAAAATAAGAAAATAAGATTTTTCGACCGTAGCCCTGAGGTTCGGCGACCACTGTTAACGCCTAATCCTCATTGAGTATCCCTAAGAATTTAGCTTGAATCCACTAAGAAAGCCCTTAAAATGAGCAAGAATGTTACAGATATGGACCACAAAGGTTCGAACACAAAGAACCTCTCAAACTCTGATCTCTCTCTTTATAAAATACTCACAAAGAATACTTTACACTCAGTACACCATAATTTCACAAAGAGATTACACAGATCATCAAGAAGATGAATTTACAGAGAGAATTTCAGAGAAAAACCACGAAGAAGACGAGAGGAATTCCAAATAAAAAACGATCTGCCCTAACCCTAGAATGAAGAGTCCAATTAAATGGAATACGATCAATCAGCTGATCCAACGGTCCAGAGTACACCAAGTGTCAGCCATCCATTTAAAATGCACCAATGCTCAAAAAATAAAACACGCTTTCATCCATTCCAGAATTTTCATTTAATTGGATCAAAGGACCCGATTTACTTGGACTGGCTAGGCTGGACCATAAGTAATAAGTGGGCTAAAAATGTAGCAACCCATTTACATCTCTTTTCCGAAAGAAAAAAGGAAAAATGATTTAACTCTTTCGCAAGGCGGATTTAGAGGTGTAAAGCAAATTAAGCCAGGTTGAATTGAGCAGGTCGTACAACAAAATGCAAAGGATGGTACGGCTTGTGAAAGTCTACGTCAAGTCCGAATATGCCAGCTTGTATGGACTGTAAAAAGTGGGGAGTGATGTCCATCACGATCAAGAAATTTTTGTCAACTTTCTTTCTTTTTTTTTTCCCACCTTAAACAGTAAGCATATTACAATTTGATTCAATAATTGGAAGGGATCTAGAGCTCTATTTTCCAAAAGATAAAAGGAAAAATGAAAAAAGAGAACAAAACCAGATTTAGAGGTATGAAGTAGATTAGATCAAGTTGGATTAGATGGGTTTTGCAACAAAGTGCAAAGTATGGTGCAGCTCGTCAAAGGTCTACGTGACGTCCATCACAATCAAGAAATTTGTGGAGACTTTCATTTTCTTCCACCTTAAACAACAAATGTATTACAACTTGATGCAATAATATAGAGGGGACTAGATCTTTTTTTACAAAAAAAAAAAAAATCCTAATTCGAAAGGCGAATTTAGAGGTATAAATTGAATT